TCCATTCTTCCTGTTATTGTCCGCAAAGGGGGTTGGAGCGGTGAGGAAGAGGAAGACGACGAATGCGAGCCCGAAGCTTTGCCGAGTTTTGCCGAAGCACTCGCTGCATTGGCGAAAGTGAAGTCGTTCTTTTATGCGCTTAATATAGTGAACGTGACGAAGAAAACATTTTGAACGTGGAAAGTGCTCTGTTTGGTCTAAAACGTAAAGTTTCGACAAACCAGTTGACCATTAAAGACTTTTTTGGTAAAAAGAAGTAACTTTGAAAGAGAAACATCGTTTTTTTTTAAATTTTTAATGCTTTCCCGCATCTATCGTTTTCCCGCATTCATCGTTTTTATTTCCCACCCCCTTCGAAAACGATGCATCGAGGTTTCACTGTATAAATCTTTTTGGGACTTCCTATATAATCACTTCTGGATGCTACTTAATGACCATTCATTCACCAGTTTGCCTTCTAATGACTCCACTATTTCAATAAAGAATTGTAACATTAACATACCTTGTTGTAGAAAGATCTACAACATATTGATACATGGACTGGAATGCCTGAGTAGCATCAACACTTCGGCCATCAGTACAATTCTCTAGAAGCAGTATAATTTCCTGGTGCTTAATGCCACAACTGTACAGATCCAGTGCACTATCCTGAAATAATCCACACAGAAACATTGGAATAACAAGTAAAGAATTTGCAACTATAAGTCATATCAGATACATTGGTGTTAATTCAACAGCAAATAAATTTCAAACTGAATATCAAGGCTGAGTGGTAAACACCCTTTCTTCATATTCAGGGTGTCCCTGGTTAAAATCTCAGTTTGGAGACTGGGTATCCTGGCCTCAAAACAGTACTAAACTACACTTACAAGTTTGCCAGGCACAATGCCAACTACTCTGTTCTTAGTTATTTTAGTAGTACCAAAAGATACACACACAGTTTTAAGATCTTATTAAAGGAAGAAACATATTCAGACACTCACCTGTGGGTCCTTTAGCAACATTACATCAGAAGTCCTCTGAGCCTCTTCTCCTGGAAACAGGGCACAGAGAGGTTGAAGGTCAAGTTGACTGTTCTGTGCTGGATTATCACTTCCCCTTCTCTTAGCCATGTTCAGATTTTTCTCATGAATTCTAAATATGGAAACACAAAAGATTATTACAATACTGTTCAATGCAAAATCCTGATAAATAAATGAATTTTGATATGTAAGAATGTGACAATCGCTGACAAGAGCGAGTGAAAAGTAAATGACAGAGGATAATGCCCAGATTCAGAAAACTGATGAAGTGAAGTTCATGAAAATTTCTTCATTTCCTGCCTGTGAATATAACAGACAGATTCTCTTCGCCCTAAAAAGTCACTTATAAATATTATTTACTCTTGAAAGCAAGCTTAGAAATCATATCATAAATGCTTACCTCCTCAGCCTGAGACGGGTAGCTTCATCTCCGGACACGAGACTCAAAGCTGCAACTTCTAAAACATCCTTCATACTGCTGCTCATTAACAACTTTATATCCTGTTGCTGTGGTCTGTATGTCACTCGAATCTTAGTAGATGTTCCTTCAGATATCACCAGCTCTGACGGCTCCACAACAAGTCTTGTTTTGTTCACATTCTGAAACCCTGCAGAGTGACCTCATTAATAAACTACAGTGTACTCATTATTATATCAACTATTGCTAGGGAGAAAATTATTGGTATTAATCTTTAGTGTCAACCACAAATCTCATGTGGACAGTCCTGGGAGCAAACCCTGGCCTCCACAGTGAGAAGCTGGAGACTATCTGCCTGGCACAGCCACAGCAACCACTTTTGTCCTGTAACGTTTTTTAGAAGTTTAAAATAAGAAAACTGTATTGTCACCATAAAATGTAAATTTAGATGGATTTCATCTCATACTAAGTTAAGGTCTTTTGGAAATGGAAGAGGAATCATAATAAACATAAATATTCAAATATCACCTTTTGTAATAGGTTTAATTTTTATAAAAGCCTTCAAGTCACCAAAATTCTGTAGAGAGAAGCTAGTTTCCCATTCCATCTTATGGGAAACTTGGGTTAACATTAGCCACATACGACCTGCACCATCCCTGGGTACACCCTTGGCTATAAGTCGTGCATGACCTCCAAAGCCATACATGGGAATCTGAAAAAATAAATAAAATAATAATAATAAAAATAAAATAAAATTCCAAGACTCTCTCATAAAGAATTTTCCAAAGTAGATTCAGGGCTTAATAGAATAAAATCCAAGAAATAGATCTCAGAAAATGTACATGATATTAATTACAGATATGTTGGAAAATGAATGAAACAAAGCAAACTTTAAGGAAGGCAAAATAAATAGGAAATTGCACTGCAGCCAGAGAATTTGATGTCAAGAGAAAGTTAGTCAAGCAAAGTACTAGTTGAAAGCACTTGAAATCATGAAACAAATTCTATTCCAGGCCTTCAATACAAGCTGTGACTGGCTGCAGAAGTTATTAAATGATTAAAGTGTGTCACATAAAGAACACTAAAGAGTACACCTTTCCAGTGTTACTGTCTGCAGTATTAGCCACATTTAAACAATATTTTTCTCTAAAGAATAATTTAAAATTTGGGTGCAGGTCTTACATGGGGTTAATATGATATTTGGAAAAATATGTTAATATGATGGTTCAGTATGTTAGAATGTAGAAAACTGGCAAGAAACCGAAAAGATTTTTTAATAAAGTAATTAAAAACACACAAAACAGACAATGCTATAGGACAATTGCAATATGTTTATAGGGAAGTCCAAATTCTAACAAATGGATGAATACAGCCAAATGACATATTTGCCAGAACCAACAGCTAAAGACTGAAGGTTTAAATTATGTGCAGCATCTTCTACATTTTCTATCACTGTCCTTACAATCAGATGTAAAAACACATGTAATCATAAGTCACTTACTATTAGATGTATGCCTTGTATGATGAAAACCAGTTTTCCATACGCTGCTCCTATTACTAGAGGCTTGAAGTTAACATGAAAAGAATGGCTTTTCCTCGGATGGAGGGTAATACATTTCTCTCCCATCACAAGCCCATCACTGTCAATTAACTGTAATAGAAAAATGGATCAATTAATAATTTAAGGAAGAAACATGACAATACTGAAGACATCTGGAAATTGTACAGCCAGACAGCTTTCAATGTTTGCATGTCTCTGGACTGTGTTCAGCTATTACAAATAGAACAAAACATATTGGAAACTGAATCTCTTTCTGTCCTCATGTGAAAAGTTGGTGAAGCACTTACTTAATTTGGTCCAAGGTCTAGTGACTGAAATTAGATCTTTCTAATGGATACAACAGAGTAGGTGCTGCCCCACTTGACAGAAACAAATGCAGTTTCCAAAATGTTGTGTTCTGTTTATAATACGAGGGTGAGTCAAATGAAAACCGTAAAAAAAAATTTAAATTTAATTTATTGAATGAAAGCGGTACACAACTATATCATTTTTCTACATAGTCTACATTTCGTTCAATACAGGCCCTCCAGCGTTTACGAAGTGTATGGATTCCTCTAGAAAAAAATTCTTGTGGTTGTCTGCCCAACCACTCATGCCCCGCCTGCTGTACCTCTTCATCAGAACGGAACTTCTTTCCTCCCATCGCCTCTTTGAGCGGCCCAAACATGTGGTAATAACTTGGAGCTAGGTCTGGTTAGTATGGCGGATGTGGAAGACACTCAAAGTGTAAGTCTTGGATTGTTGCAACTGTTGCATGGGCAGTATGGGGCCGAGCATTGTCATGTTGCAAAAGTCAAAAGTCCACGTTGCTTTGATCTGACTGCAGGTCGAAGATGATTCTTCAAGAGATCTGAATATGAGGCACTGGTGATAGTGTTCCCCCGAGGCGTGTAGTGCTCCAAGAGTACGCCTCGTTTGTCCCAAAAGAGAGTCAGCATAATCTTCCCTGCAGATGGCTGCGTCCGGAACTTCTTGGGTTTTGGTGATGAGGAATGAAGCCATTCCTTGCTCATTCTCTTTGTTTCCAGTTGGTGGTAGTGCACCCAAGTTTCATCACCAGTAACGATTCTCGAAAGGAAGCCATCACCTTCTGCTTCAAGGCGCCGCAGTTCTTCACAGGCGTCAACAAGTCGTTGGTTCAATTCTGGAGTCAGCTGCCGCGGCACCCACCTTGCAGACACTTTGTGAAACTGAGCACATCATGAATGACATGGTGTGCTGATCCGTGACTCATGTTAAGAATTTCGGCTATTTCATCCACCGACACTCGGCGATTCTCCATCACTAGCGCTTCAACTGCTGCAATAGACTCAGGGGTCATAACTCTGTGCGCCTGACCCGGGCAAGGAGCATCTGCCACAGACGTCACACCATTTCTGAATTTCCTACTCCACTCGTACACTTGCTGCTGTGACAAGCATGCATTACCATACTGAACCTTCATCTGTCGATGAACTTCAATCGGTTTCACACGTTCACTGATCAAAAAACGAATTACAGAACGTTGTTCTTCTTTCGTGCATGTAACTAATGAGGCAGCCATCTTCAAACTGGCACTGTGATGGCGTTCTGTTTGTCTGCATTATACTGCCACCTATAGGATACTCTTTATAGCATTGGTAACATGTCTGCCAACTTATAGGACAATTGCGCGATATTTCAAATTTTTATCTCAGTTTTATGGTTTTCATTTGACTCACCCTCGTACTAGATACTGAAAAAGACTCATAAAACAGACTATAAAGAAACAAATACCATACCATGACAAGAAATGTGCATGCTTTTGAAACTTGGAAAGATAGTGGGGAAACTCTGTGTTTAATTACAGCATCTGAAAATATCAAGACACTTAATAAAAGTTAAATACTATTTAAGTATGAATTACATAATCAGATTATCTCTCTAATTAATCAATACCTCATAAGAATGGAGTTTGTCATCAACATAAACATAGACAGATAATTTGCAACTGTCTTCACTGCGGATGGTGAATGATTTGGTGACACATTTTCCAATTGCTACACTGCCCCATACTAACTGACGATGGGTTGTTTTAACATTCAGTTTTTCTTCAGATGTGAAACCTTTCTTGTTGCTGCTCTGTGATTTTATAGAATGCCATTTACTGCTGCATGTAGACTGGCCATTACTGTTCACAGACTTCACACTTGAACTGCCTGCAATTACAACATATCATTGTGAGATTTCAAGTTTTTGTGGCAGCAAGTATGAAGATGGCTGTCATCAGGGTAGTTGCACCATGTAGTCAAGTAGAAGTTTACAGACGTTTCAGAGGTGCTTGCTGTCTTCATCATCACAGTGCAACAACCCAGAAGACAGCTATCTTCAATATACCAATAATTCCACCAACTATGTACAGCAGTCTATGTGTAGTTTATGTTGTGTGTCTATAAATATGATGGTAAACAACTTTAACCACCTAAATACTATACTTTACCCTTGGATGACCCAAACGAAGGTGCCTTCTCAAGATGTTCAATGTGTTTACTTTTACACACTCTTGAGTCTTTAACTGTAGTTAGGAGTTCCTCAGACTGAGACTTAGAAGGCTTTTCATTTACTTCACTGCTAGATGTGGTCATTATTCCAGTCACTTCTACGAAATACACAGGTCCATGTGGTTGCATTGAAACCTGAAGCATCCTAGTAACATCAAAACTTACAGTTTTAATACAGCCAATTGCAAATTACCTTTACAGAATATTATACAAATACTAAACCACTCACTGAACTGTATGGCAATTTTTTCAGATAAATAAAGATACAAAAACTGTATTTTCAGTAGAGATTGAAAACATGACAACTGAACTGTTTACTTATCACAGCTTACATAGTATATTTTACAGTAATTTGTATATATAAACAAATATTTTAAAGATTATTGTTTTGTTTTTCTATTATTTTTAAAACTAAATTTATTATATTCAAAAGATTTTTAAAATGAGTTTTATACAACTTAAAAAATGGATTAAATTTTGGGAGGGAAGGTAAATATTTCCATTTATGTTCCTTCTATGCTCATATTTATAATAATAAATGTTTAGAGCAGGTCAGTATTACTTACTGTACCCAGACATTTTGTATCAAAGCAGCATATGCCATGAGCAATAAAAGTTTGAAAGTCACTCATACAGAATGTATGGAGCTGTATCTTCACATCCCTTACATATTTTAATAGCACTGTGTTTAGGCACAGAAAGACACTTCACCTCTACCATCAATTAGTATTAAGTTGATATTAGTGGAATTGCCTGATATTTCTAATATAAATTATAGATATATCAAATTTATTCCTTTCGGTCCAATTTATCTGAAAGGCAACATTTTGTATGTAGACAATCTTTATCAGATCATAAAACAAATTCTTTGTGTATACTAAACTGCATACAGTTAAAGAATTTTACAACAGAAGCCTAGCAACATCAAGGAAAAAAACTTTTAGTGTAATTTTTCATAAAGCAACCAAAGAATATGTTACACATCCTAATTTACTGCACTCTACTCTGACACTGAAATGCTGTTTAAATTTACAATCTATTCACTGCAAGTTTATGATGAAACAAATTCATTAAAATTTATTATAAAAGTATTACACTAATTACAGTGAATACAGTGAAACCTCTATCCATCGTTCCCGGAACTATCGTTTTCCTGGATGCATCGTCCGTTTTGTTCGGTCCCGAATACATCCCATATAAAATAATGTTACATTTTCCCCCTTCTATCGTTCCTCGAACTATCGTTTTATCGCATCGATCGTTCAAAAATCTTAGTCCCGGCCCACAATTTTCCCGCAATGATCGTTTCTGAGAATTCAAAATGCTGGGTTTAGAGATAAATTAATACCGAAAGACGCATAATGTTTTTGGAATACACAGTAGCGGTAACCTGTTATGTCGCCCAACCAGCACATTCTTTTGGAATGAGGGTCAGCGGTGCAGGGGTGATAGTTGGAGAGAATGGCGGCGCGCATTGTCAGAAATTTTACGATTTTAATTAGGGTGCACTCATATTTCGTTCCAGCGATGCCA